ATTTCCGCTCTCTCCTCTTGTCCCTTCTCTTCTCTGTATGTATGTGTATGTTTGTGTATATATATATGATACTATTTAAGAGTATGTTGGAGACATCATGTCCCCTCGCCATTAATTTCAGTGACATTTTCAAAAAATAAGAACATTCCCTCATGCATCATGTTTTTATTAAAAATGTGAGAGATTTGGGTCACTTAGGTCAGAAAGCCTAAGTGAAGGTCCATAGGAGCAGAAGGGAGAGGGATTGACCTTGCTGAAGTCTCTGGAAAGGTCCACGGAGAGGGAGGGATCTGAAGCCCAAATGTGTGTACAGGGGCGTGGGGGTGGGGTGGGGTTGGCTTTTGCTAAGGGCAGGACAGCATCTCTGTTGTAAGGAGAGGTGAAGATGTGCCAGTGTGGGAGCCTGTGCCGTGTTTGATGGGGGAGTTGGGGATGTTCCTCCCCCCGCCCCGGGTTCTGTTTCCTTTTGGATGATCTAGTGACAAAGAGGAGCAAGGTGTGCGAGCTTTGGGGGAGGGTCTGAGTTGAGAAAACATGAAGGGGCCCGAGGAGAGGGCAGAGGCAGTATCCATTTGGCCAGCTAGCCCCTTCTGGGTGGACACTCGTTCATCCAGAGCACAGCCCATCTGCCCTCCCAAGGAGAGTGGGGGAGGCCACCGGCTTCATCTAGCCTGGGGTTTTGCCAAAGGTTGTGAAGAAAATACAGAATAGGCAGGGTAGAATACACTGGATAAGGATGAGAGAAGCAGGATGACTCCTGGGTGGGAAACAGAGGGGTAAATGGACTAGAAGCAGGCTGGGAAGATGGGAACTGCAATTTGGTTTTTAATTTTTGCTATTTCACTTATTAGAACCAGCCATTTTAAAGCCCTAGATACTATACTAAATATCTTCCATGCACTAATTTTATATAACAATCTTGTGAGGTAAATATATTATCATAGTATATTATCATCAAGCCATTTTGAAAGACAAGAAAACGGAAGTTCAATGGCTTTTTTCTCACTATGACACAGCTAAAAAGTGACAGCAGGAGCTCCAACCTGTGCTCTTTAACTCCAGGGACACACGACGTCCTCCACTTTGCGCTTTCCTCAGCTAACAGACTGTTTAAAAATGCAAAGTGATCATCTCACACCCTAAATGGAAATATGTATTTTGACATAGACTGACAGATGAATAGAGAGTTGGATAGATGGGTGCGTATGTGATGAAGCCAATCATTGTAAAATGTTAACTGGGGAGTCTAGGTGGTAGCTATTAATATGTGAAGTCCATGGTGTAATTCTTTCCACTTTTCTTTATGTTTGAAAATTTTCCTGTAAAATTTTTTTTAGGGAGGTAAGTGCCTTAATTGAAGAAAGGTAAATGAAGTTAAATCACTTCTTTTTTTGCCGTTTTTGGCTGGGGCTGGGTTTGAACCCGCCACCTCCGGCATATGGGGCTAGCGCCCTACTCCTTTGAGCCACAGGTGCCACCCATTAAATCACTTCTTCTATGTGGACCTTGATGGACTTGTATCTGTAGGTCTATAAACATCTGCAGAGTCATAGAAGGTTGACTGCCTCTCGTAAGCAGGTTTTTATGTACTGGACTTAGAAACTTCATGCCTCCAATTCCAGGACATCCTAGACTTTCCAGTAGTGGAAAACAATTGTGTAATTAAAGCACTTTTAAGAGAGGAAAATAAGCACTTCTGGGAAGGAAGTTGAGCTGTAATCAAAATGTTTGGGGCGACGGATTATCATTGGATTCTATGTGCCAGCTCAAGTTGTTTCAGACCATGAGCAGGGTTTCATCTGCCCCCATTGCTTGCTTGCTTTTATACAAATTCACTGAGTCCAAATCATGCATTTTACATGCACAAATACTTAACTGTGTGATAAGACGGATCCTACCTTTTAGTAGGCATTTTTTTCATCATTTCTTTGGTCGAGTTCCCAGTAGGAAAGTATTTGGCATTTGATGTAAGTGATTCTAAAAACAAAGCAGCTAGAGGCATCACGTCAGTGTACTGTTTGTTTTCATTTCATGGCACTGAGGACACTCTCCGTTGATGGCTGGTTTCAAGGCACCTTTGCAGGGGGACAGATATACCAATATCATTCACCGACCTGTTTGTTCCCTTCTGGAAGCCTCCAGAGCAGAGTGTTAGGTAACAGGAAGGGAGAAGGGGGAAGCAAAGGTGCCCGCTACAGAGGTGTTTGCTGAAACTTCAGGCTGATTGGCTCATATGGAACTTGTGAAAAGACAGGATGTTCTTGCTTCTTTGGGAACCTTGATCCCTCCACTCCTTTCAGGAGCAGTCAGCTGGTATCTTGGCTCGCACTCTGCCTGAGCGAAAGTGCCCAACAGCATGTGACTGGGTGTCCTCAAACAAGAAGGATCTTGCCAGGCCTCCCTGTTGATTTGTTTTTATATACCTCCTATCTTTGCCTGATCAGGCGGTGGCTTAGGCAGCAGCATTGAGGCTGTGTAGACGCAGGAGGCTGAGAGGACTTCGAACTGGGTTCATCTTAGCTTGGCGACTTTCTGTGGCTGGATCTGAGCTTACATGAGGGTAATAGTAGGCTGCATAGAGTTTTTGCGGACGAAGCTCTTGACACAATGCCTGGCATCTAACAAGCACTCATAAATGGAGCCTACTCTTATGAATATACTGCTTGTGTTCTTCTGAAATTACTTGTTTCCTTCACACACGTACATGTATGTCCTTGAGATCTTTTAAGTTCTGACGGGCATTGTGACAGCTGCACAGGATTCCATGATTCAGAATATTGCCTTTTCCTAAACCAATTGCTTCTCCCATCTTTCCTAACTCAGCTAATAACCCTCCTAGTCACTAAGCTGCCTCTTCTTATTGAGTCCCAGCTCTTCTTTGACACCTTTCTCCATTCGGCTATTGGGTTCTACTCTCATTTTAGGTTTTAAATATATTCTTTTCTTTCTTTATTTTATTATTATTTTTTGGTTGCATTTTGGCCAGGGCCAGGTTTGAACCCACCACCCTCGATATATGGGACCAACGCCCTACTCACTGAGCCCCAGGTGCTGCCCTTTCTTTTTTTTTTTTTTGAGACAAAGCCTCAAGCTATCACCCTGGGTAGAGTGCTGTGGTGTCACAGCTCACACCAACCTCCAATTCCTGGGCCCAGGCCATTCTCTTGCCTCAGCCTCCCCAGCAGCTGGGGACCACAGGCACCTGCCACAACGCCAGGCTGTTTTTTGGTTGTAGTTGCCATTGTTTGGCAGGCCCGCCAGCTCTGGTGTATGTGGCTGGCACCCTAGCCGCTTGAGCCACAGGTGCCAAGCCAGTTCCTAAATATATTCTTAATCTCTCTTAATCTACTCTGACCTATGGGGCTCTGACCTAGTTCATTTACTCTTCCTTTCTCACCTGGGCCACTGCAGGTAAATGAAGGATTCTTGTTCATGAGATTGCCTGCCACCAGGCTTGCCCCCTGCAAAGCCACCTGCTACCTAGCTGTCAGATGTGGGTGTTTCGTGATGGCCATGGCACTCATGACACCTGGTGCCAGCTATAGGAAGATTTATTAATGATAGCAACTCATGAGGCAGAGGGTCCATGATCTCCCCAGCCCCACGGTTATGTCATAGAGAGGTAAGCAGGGTCAGACGCACTGCAGAGAGCCCTTCTGTAGGGCATCTAGCCCCCACAGGGGGCTCCAGGAGGGTTAGAGGACCCTAGTTTTTTTTCCCAAGAGTGTTAGGATTATATATGTGAGCCACTGTGCCTGGCCAAGAACACCTAGTCTTAAACTAGAATTGTCCAAACACCTGATCCAATAATCCACCTTTGGGATGTCCAGAGCTCAGCTGGAGAGTTTTGTGTCCAGCTTGCTGACAGCAGCCAGCCTTGCTGTCCTTCCCACAGCTGGGTGCAGGAGGGAAGGCTCCACAGCCATCCAGCTGAGAACACGGAGTTTGTCCTTCTCTAGCTACTCAGTGTGTGACCGGTCCTTGACACTCACTTTAAATTCCTGACGCTCTGTACCACTTGTGACTGTCTAGTTGGCTCTTCTTGAGTTTGTGCTTTTCGCTTGGAGATAACCTCCAGAAAGCCTGCCCACCCTTCTGGGCTCTTCTCTGTTTTGACTCATGGTGTTAACGTTACACGTATCTGTGTTTGGATCATGCCAAACTAGGAGGGAAGTGTCTGTGTGACGTTCCCCTTTGCATTCACAGGCCCGGCCTGGATTCGAACCCGCCAGCTCAGGTGTATGTGGCTGGCGCCTTAGCCACTTGAGCCACAGGCGCCTGAGCTTTTTTTTTTTTTTGAGACAGAATTTTATTATATCACCCTCAGTAGAATGCAGTGGTATCACAGTTCACAGCAACCTCTAACTCTTGGGCATAAGTGATTCTCTTGCCTCAGCCTCCCAAGAAGCTGGGACTACAGGCACCTGCCACAACACCTGGGTATTTTTTTGTTGTAGTTGTCATTGTTTAGCAGGCCCAGGCTGGGTTTGAACCCACCAGCCTGTTGTATGTGGTCAGTGTCCTAACCACTGTGCTACAGGCACCAAACCATGCCCTCTACTTAAAAAAAAAAAAATAATAATAATTTTGTTATTGTTGTTGTGGAGACAGAGCCTCACTGTGTTGTCCAGGCTAGAGTGCCACGGCCTCAGTCTAGCTCACAGCAACCTCAAACTCCTGGGTTCAGGCGATCCTCTCTCAGCCTCCCAAGTAGCTGGGACTACAGGCATCCACCACAAAGCCCAGTTAAATGTTTAGTAGAGACGGGGTCTGGCTCTCGCACAGGCTGGCGTCAAACTTCTGAGCTCAAGTGATCTGTCCACCTTGGCCTCCCAGAGTGTAAGTTTACAGGTGTGACCCACTGTGCCCATTCTTTTCCCTCTGCTTTTGAGGGCAGGCCCAGTTTTACGGTTTGGTAAGATTCCTCAAACCATGGCTCTAATGAGGATTCTTGCTATGTAGTGCCTTTTGTACTGAGTTTAAAATGTTTTCCATGGCAGGACTATGGCGGCCTGGGAAGCTCTGCTGAATAGCCACTCAGAGGACAGCAGTGCTGTGGACCTTCCATCAGCATGTGACATCAGAGATTATGTCCTGCAGAGACCCAGTGAAAAGGCCAACAGCGAGGCTTTTAGTTCTGCGGAATTCCTTTCTTTGCCTTGCTCTTCTGATGTGGATCCAGGTAATAAGAGTTTTAAACAAACTAACTTACCAAAAAAACAATTAGCAGATATGCAAGTATGTGATATTGTTTCTGTCTCTTCCAATAATCCTCCAAGATCTCCAAGAATGATTCATTGTCTTAGGTGGAAAGAGATCTTAACTAAGCCCAGCTGTGGGGAGAGACTTCAAAGGGCAGCCTCCTCTGGTGTGAGAAGGAGCTGTTTCCTGGAGGTCTTTTTTTTTAATCTTGGGTCCCTTTCTGATCTCTATCAAAATGCATTCCAAGCAGGTAACACTTGGTTCAACAAAAAGAAAATGGAATTTTTTTGTTTTGTTTTGTTCTTTCAAAACTTCAGAAAATAGCAATGTGGGCCTGTTAAATGCTATGAGTAATAAAAATAGAGACTTTGGCCAGGCCTGGTGGCTCATGTCTGTAATCCTAGCACCTTGGGAGGCTGAGGTGGGAGAATCACTTGAGGCCCAGGAGTTTGAGACCAGCCTGAGCAAGAGTGAGATGACCTCTCTACAACAAAACCCAGAAAAACTAGCCAGATGTGGTGGGCATGCTTGTAGTCCTAGCTACTTGGGATGCTGAGGCAGGAGGATCACTTGAACCCAGGACTTTGAGGTTGCTGTGAGCTATGATGCCACTGCATACTTAGCCTGGGGGGAGAGAGCCAGACCCTGTCTCCAAAAAAAGAGACTTTACTATTCCTCTTAGGAACTTATGAACTCCCAATTTAACTACAACTTTTCTTCACTAAATTGCTGAAATGTGTGTTATTTAAGCTTAATGGTAATTGCCTGATGTTGGTAGTGACAATCTTTAGTTGTAAAGTTCATTTTTTTCTTGTTCATCACCCAGTCTGGGTCTGGAGGTCCACAGGCCTGGATTCAAAGTTTAGCTCTGCCACATTGGCTGAACGCATTGGAGTGCTGTTTCTTTTTCTTTCTTTTCTTTCTTTTTTTTAAGAGACAGAGTCTCATTTTGTCACCCTTGGTAGAATGCCATGGCATCACAACTCACAGCAACCTCCAGCTCTTGGGCTTAGGCGATTTTCTCTTGCCTCAGCCTCCCGAGTAGCTGGGACTACAGGTGCCCTCCACAACGCCTGGCTATTTTTTGTTGCAGTTTGGTCGGGGTCGGATTTGAACCTGCCACCCTCGGTATATGGGGCCGGCGCTCTGCCCACTGAGCCACAGGCACTGCCCGGGTACTGTTTCGTAAACCCTCGAAGCTCTTCGGTCATCTGCAATGACAGTAAAATGCTTGCTTCATGAGGTTAGATTGAACTCAGGGAAAAATGTAAAGTCCTTAGCATAGGGTTGTCCATCTGTGGGTGCCCATCAATGTGGTTGTTGTTAATATTAAGAAATGCAAATAGGGATTTTTAATGGGAACTAGCTGGGTCCTAAGAAAATGTAGGCTTTAGTGATGATGAATTCAATGACTGTAGATTGAGTGTGTACCTGTCATCGTCTTCAAGAATTTTATGAAAATTTGTTTATCACAGCTCTGTTTACAGTCACCAAGATGGTGAACTAATCCAAGTACCCCTCAACCCATGAATGGATCAATAAGCTTAGTATATATACACCATGGAATACTGTTCAGCCATGAAAACAGATGGAGGCTTTACATCTTTTGTATTTGTCTAGATAGAGTTGGAGAACATTTTCTTTAGTAAAACATCGCAAGAATGGAAAAGCAAGTATCCAATGTATTCAATACTAATATGAAGCCAGTAGACAAACCACTACACATGTGGTGCACAAGAGAAAAACACAATTTAATTCAAGTGGTGGGGAGGTGGGGAGAAGGGAGAGAGGAGCGGGGAAGAGGGAGAGGCATCGGTGTGCTCTTACCTAACGGCACGGTGTAAGGGCATACGGCACACCTCCTGGTCTGGGGCACGGCGGCAACAGAGACCTTACCTGACCAATGCAAACCCTGTAATCTAGTCATTTGTACCCTCCTATTAATCTGAAATTTTAAAGAAAGAATTCTATGAAAAAAGCACTTTTAAACTTTCTCATGATTCTTTTCTGATTTTTGGACATAGAGTAATCAGAATCAGTAAGCTTCCTATTTAATTTAGTACCTGATGAAGAATTAGATCTTTCCTTATCCCTTGTCTTTCTCACCCTAACTTTTCACCTCTCCTTTCTCCTTTCCATCCTGCTCCACGTTACTTTCCATTCCTCAAACTGATTTTATTCATCATCTCTGGTTATCAAAAGCATTTCCTAGAAGAAGTGAATGGGTGCAACTGGACAGAACTTCAGAAGTATTGGCCTGTTGAAATACTTTGGGACAATGGCTCTATTCTTTGAGGGAATTCATCGTAGACTGTTTTTATCTTTCATTTCCTGTTGGTTGAATAATCCATAGGAAAGCAACTACTGCCTTGATGCCTGCAGCTCAGTGGTTAGGGCACCAGCCCCATACACCCGAGCAGGTGGGTTCAAACCCAGCCTGGGACAGCTAAACAACAATGACAACTACAACAAAAAATAGCGGGTGTTGTGGCAGGTCCCTGTAGTCCCAGCTACTTGGGAGGCTGAGGCAAGAGAATTGCTTAAGCCCAAGAGTTTGAGGTTGCTGTAAACTGTGACACCATGGTACTCTACCGAGGGTGACATAGTGAGACTCTTTCTCAATAAAAATAAAAAGAAAGCAACTGTTGCTAATTGGAATTTGGCTGACAGTACTAAAAATGAGAAGCATGTTGAAATGTTTATGTTGAAATACTTGTTAAAAAGTCTAGGCCAAAAAGCTTCTCTGGAAACCCTTATAAAGGCCTAAACCTGGGAAGGGGTTAGTAGTCAGATGTCAAGGCAACCTTTTTACAGGGTTATTGGTGATGGTCATGCTTGGTCAGACTATCTGGTTGGATTCTGTTCTGCTTTTTCCTGTGTTTTAACCTTGACCAAGCCACTTAGCCTCTCTGAGCCAGTCTCCTCCCTTGTGAAGTGGAGATAATGATGTCTGCCTCATTGTGGGGGAGACCATGAGGATGGGGGGGCTAGTCCATGAGGCAAGGTGCTTGGTACACAGTAGACTCACAAGAAAGCCAGTTCCTCATCAGCTGAGCTGCTCAGCATACTACTGCCCTCCGCCCGGTCAGCTCAAGCTGCTGTAACAACTACCACAGACTGTGTGGCTTAGACAATGAGCACTGATTTTTCATACTTCTGGAGGCTGGGAGTCAAGATCAAGGTGCCTGCAGATCTGGTATCTGGTGAGGTCACCTTACTGATCTGTAAGACGGCCACCTTCTTGCTATGTCCTTATGTGGTCAGGAGGAGACCTTCTCTCTCTTGTCTCTTATAGTAACCCCATTATTAGGGCCCTCACCCTCTAGATCTACTCCCCTCCCAAAGGCCCCACCTCCAGGGCAGTCATATTGGGGAGCAGGGTTTAACATGTGCATTTGGGGGTTGGAGACACAAACACAGTTCATAGCACATGCCGACTGTGCTCCCTTCCCAGAAATCCAGGCAGGCGGCAGGCAACGTGCAGGTAGCTTATCAGTGGGTAGCAAGGTCCCAGCTTCAAGGTTGGAGTGAGCATTACAGTTCTAACCTTTGGAAGAGGAGTAGTCCTCAGTTTTAGGAGGTGGCAGAGACCTCCCAGAAATTTAGTTATAAGAATCTGAGCCCAGATTCCCCATGTCATTTGCACCTGCCTCTGACCCTTCCCAGCCATGCTTGTGATAGGATCCACCCACCCTCCTCACTCCATGCCTTCATCTCATGGTTATGCTTCATTTCCCAAGTGGCTTCTATCTCCATGTCCCACTAGAATAACCCTGTCTTTGCTCAGATGCCAGTGACTTTCCCCAGAACCCAAATCTGAAGGACACTTCTCTTTCCTATATCTACCCATCTCACTGCTCATGCCCTGGAGGAAGGTATTAATGGCAAGAGGCATGAGATTTAAGAACACTTTCCTAGAAACTACTGGATCGGTAAGAATCCGAGAGTATTAGTCAGAATAACTTCAGCAGCCTTGGTCATTTCAGTCTGGTTATGCAAAGAAGGTTAGGCTAGGCCATTTGTGTCTAAATAAACAGAGGACTTCTGTTCTGAAGTTACCGGTCCGCTGGCCACTCCTCCTAAGGTGCTGGAAAAGTAAACAACTCCACCCAAGGCAGGCACAGGATTATGAAACTCCTCCGCTCGCCCTTCGTGGTGAGATAAGGCAGAAGACCCACAGCTGCCAAAAAAACACCTTTTCTATCCCGTGCCTCTGGTTAAGTCTTTTTGAGATGTTGTCCTGGACTTCTTTCCTTCCAGCTCTTATCACAGCTCTTCTGTTTCATTTTCAGGACTCTTGTATAATCTGGTGTCTGGGATATTTGTTCAAAATATTTAACCGCCAGTATACTGTATCGCAATATTTTAGCAATTGGCAGGGCCATACAGGCTGGTGCTGGCTGAATATTGGCTCCTGCTGGTGTTTACGTACTCGTTATCACGGGCCTGCTACTCCTGTCCAGACTGTTTCCAGGCTGTGCCAACCCTTAATGTCTTGCTCCCCTCTCTGGAATGTGCTCCCTTCCTGCTCAACTCCAGTCCATGCCACAGACAGCTGAATGGAATCCGTCAATTAGTCCCAAGCACGGACTTCTTGGTGGACGGAAACTCCCTGCCTGTTCGATACCTGATTCTTTTCTCCTGTGCTGCTGGCCCCAAGGGAAGCATAGGGGCTACAGAATGGAACAACCAAGTTAAGGACACATGATCTTGGTTAAACCTCTCCAAGGCAAGGTCACAAAGGAATTTGGAGGCATAGTCCCCTGTGTACTACTGGGGCTTGATAAACTCTGAGCAACTGTGTGGCTTATCTCATCAGCACCCCCTGGGGCCTTTGTCCTGGAAAGCACCCAAGGTGCTTTCTAATACAGGACAAAGAGTTTCTCTGAAGTTGTTGTTCAGACATTACAATACAGATGTAGGAAATCTCAGCCCTTTCCTCAAACTTGAACTTCTGTCTGAGAGCAGTGACGGGGAAAT